CGCTTCGCCGCCCTGTAATTTCAGATGCACTTTCGCCAAGCGGAGCCTATCTGCGCACCGGTCGCCACTGCCGCCCCCCCGCCACTGCAGGTTTTCCAAAATTTCACCCTTGCAGCTGCCATCATGATCCTGCTTGCCACGGTCTTCGTGACCCGTGTCTTCGCTTTGCTCTTTTGGGTGATGGAGTATGTTCAATTTCTCGTCGGGCCGGACACTAGAAGCCGCGCCCCAATCACGGGGGCTGCACTCCGAAGATCACGGCGGCGCCATCGGCCCCCACGCCTGCAACTCCAACGAATTTAGACGCAGGGCGCCCCATGACCATGAAGGCGGGCTCGCGCGCCCCAGGGTCTCCTTGCAAGAACTTCAGCACGTCGCGCGCGGCTTCCTGAATGACCATGAATGCGCAGGGGCTGATTTGGATGTCACGGCCCAAGTGATTGCAATGCGGGAGCGCGCCATCACCCATCCCAAATTGGCAGTCGAGACACATCAGGCGCACATGGCGCCCTTGTCATGAACGCCGCCGCCGCGGTCGTCTTTCACCCAGACGCCCACGCTAGAGGCCATTTTGTCATCCCAGGGCGGCCTCTACGGGAGGTCTGCATCTTCGGAGATGTCATCGCCCAGATCCCCCGGCACGCCAGACGCGCCCGCGGGCGCATAAGCGGGCGAGCTTCCGCAGTCAGCTTCGCCATCATCTCTACGAACATGGAGCTGCGTCAACTGCCAGGCGGGCATGCTTGGGCCGCAAGAGCTCCCAGATCTACTCGGGCCGCAACAGCTACTGCGCGCGGAAATACACGGGGGGCGGAAGCGAGGGCGCGCAGGCGGGCGGCGGGGGGGGGGGCGGGGCCCGTGGGAGGGCGGGGGAGGGGCGAGGGGATGACGGCTGGAGGGGCGCGTCGCCGTCGCCGCCTTTTCAGAATCAAGCCCCGGCACTTCCGCGCTCGACCGCCCCGCGACCGAACGAGCAGGAGGAGGGCGAGGAGGAGGGCGGGGGGGGGAGCAGAACGAGGCGGAGGAGGAGGAAGAAAAAGAGGAGGATGGGAAAGCGCGACTTTTCGACCATCTGTCAATTCGTCGACCACCGCTCGAACAATCTCTGCAAAAAGCTGCCCTCTATCCCCCCCGTGGGTCCCGGCCATCTTGCTGCCCCATTAGGCCTTAAAGAAGCCCCATTCGCTCGTCTGCTCGGGCGACAACGCAGCGGCTCTCCAAAGAGCCTGCAATAATTGCAAGTGCGTGTGTTGCGATGAGACGGACTTCCGCCACCGCCACGGCTTCTGAGCTCCCTCTGCTCTTTGCGAACCTTTGTTGAGCGTTTCTGTCGCCCCCTTCAAATAATGTTTCTCAGACTCCTTTTCTTTCAGCATCCCCACGTGCTCTGGAAACTGGCGCCTGGCACAGCGAGCATCAGCCTCTTCGTCCTTCAACGCTCCTCGCGCACTTCCGCGCCCTCCTGCGCAAGCGTCCTCATTCGTTTGCGTTTACCGCGGATGCACTCGCCACAGTTCCTGCCAAACTCGCACCCACCTGACTATGCATATGGCTGAAGATCTCTAGGGCCTCGTGTAGAAACCTCATCCTAGGCGACTCCTCTGCTGGTCTGCCAATTCCGCAGGCGGCGGGGCTTCTTCTTGCGCGGCGCCATCACCATGGCTTTTCGGACCCAACTTTGCCCATCTTATGGGTGCGCAGCGCTTCCTATGGATGCATCCAATATCCGGGATCGAACTCCCAAATCTCGTTGCCGAGACAGTCGCCATCGCCGTCCCCGCCCGCGTCCGTTTCTTCTCCCTTTCGGGCCTCACCCGTTTCCCAAAGATTTCTGTCTAGATCGGGTGTGGTTCCGTCTTCTCGGTCTATTTTGAACTCATCGAGGTGGCCCCTTTGAGGGCACGGCGCGACGAACGGCTGCACTTCCTGGTACGTCCAGGGCAAAAAGGCCAGCAGCGCGCTTCTCCGACACATCCGCCACCGCGGAGTTAATGCGGCTTCGAATGCCCACGTCATCCCAGAAGTCTTTTGCCTCTGCGCATATTAAATCGTATCCGAAGCCGTCCAAGGCGACCGTCGTACCCTTGAGTTTGCATTCTTTACACGCCTGTAAATGGATAGCCTTGTCGGACATGACCTGCACCATGATGTCAATGTTTTCCTCTTTCGTCAGGTCCACCATTCCGCCGCCAGTGCATCGCATTTTCTCCGAGATTCTCGCTGTTTGCAATTCAACGGATATCCTGGGGAGGTGCAAGTGGAGGTCGGTATCATTTGTTTGGCAGATCACGGAAGCCCCATCACCGCGAGTCACGCAGATGCACCCACGGCTCAAACACAAGCGTTGCGCATTATCGGTGAGCCCTGGCGCGCACGCATCTAACAGGAACGACTCCCACCGTCTGCCAGGACCCCACGGCAACAGACCTTCGGCTTCTGGAGCTCGCGACCGCCGGTGGCGGCGGAATCCCGGTCGTCGTTGCCCACGGCCAGCAGCGCGAGCTGCTTGGGCGGCAAGCCCCCGCAACGCGGATGCACACGTGGCCACTCGGCGCCGACGCCAGGTCGAATTGGGCGCCGGGGCCCCATGTGATCTCGTAGCCGCCAGGTCCAGGAAACGCCCGGCGCTTGTGGTCAAAGCATGTTTCCACCACCCGCTGTTGAACTGCACGGACTGCAGACCACCTCATCGTCCTCCTCCTCCTCCTCCTCCTCCTCCTCCTCCTCCTCCTCCTCCTCGGAAGCTGCCGACCTCTGAGGACGGCATCTTTGTCGCCACGGGCTGCTTCCAGGAGCTGCAAGATGACTTCGAGGCCGATTTGAGGCGCAACTTGTGGACAGAGGCGGCGAAGCACGAGCACGGGGACAACCTCGAGGAGGGCGGCGACCTGTGGCCGATCGTCATGGAGCAGCGACGGTTCGAGCGCAAGGGGATGCTCGACCAGCTGGCGCTCAACGTGACCGTTGTCGTTGGCGGCCAGTGGCCGCGGGTCCGCTGCAGATACGATGTGCCTGAGGTTTGTCCCGGCTGCCAGGATGCCCGTGAAACCTTGAACACAGAATTTGGGAATGTTCTAAGAACGCTGAGCACGAAGACTATAGCAAAACGGAGCCACTGTTAGCAGCAGCCTTGGCACAAGCAGAAGCAGAGCCAGCTTTGTGGCTCCGTGGCCTCCCCCCTACTCGCCTCACTCACCCACTCTTCGATGACGGGCGGCTGGAGGGGCGGGAGCTTAGGTTGGGTGGGAGGGAAGACTTTGAGGCCTCTCGAGGAAGCGATGGGGTTTTAAAGGTTTATGGCGACGGCTCGGGGGGTAGGTTTTCGGACGACCCCAGACGAAGACGATGTGGGTCGGCGATTTGCTCCCTGAGATGGTCCCAGGGTGAATGGATTGTGCAAGCCGCTGTTTCACGACCCCTCCTCGGAGCTCGCCAGACAGCCCCTCGCTCCGAGATCCAGGCCTTCTGCTTGGCCTTGGAAGCGGTGCCAGAACCGTTCCTGTATATAACTGATCCCTTGTCGGTGGCCCGTAAGTGGCGCTGTGAGATGGAGCACCCAGGCCCGACAGGGGCGAATGAGGATTTGTGGACCAAGGCCCGTGAGGCCTGGCGTCTCAGGCCAGATACCGCCACTGTGGAAGTGCAGTGGACTCCCTCTCACACGGATGAATCCCCAGAGTTGCTGGTGACAGACTGGCAGCTGGAGGTTGCAGCGGGCAACGCCGCTGCTGATATATGGGCGAGGGAGGGGGCGGAGCTGGCTTGGGAGTTCGGGCTGGTTGGGGAGACTCCTCAGACGGATCGGATCGATGCTATTGCCAGCCTGGTGCGGCGACGCGCCAGACGAGCGCTAGCCGACTCGGCCAGTGCAGAATCTCAAGTCAGAGGCGAGAGAGCGGCCGCGATTAAGCGGCCGCCTTGCAACATGTATTCCAGAGCAGTCAAGGAGCCGGCCCACCAGCTCGAGAAGTCTAGCTCGGGCTGGAGGTGCGCAGAGTGCGTTCAGGTGGTACCAAGCTCCAGGTGTTTCCGCTTCGCGGCCACCCCTTGCGCTGGAAAGAGCATCCCAGATGGCACTAGGCCGCCTGAAGTGCAGCAGGCTCCCCAGTCTTTTGTTGCGGGAGCCCTCGAGTTTCATGAGTCGCATGCGATGGCCTATGTGGACACTTGGTGCATGTATGTGTGCAGTAAGTGTGGCCGCTTCGCGACTGCTGATGACCGACACATGAAGGTTCGTTGTGGAGGTATGACCCCAAAAAGGGGCGGAGAACCTCAGCAGAATAAGGAAGGGGCTTTATCCTAGGAGGGAGGGGCCACCGCAGGCGGTCGGGGAGGCCAGGGCGGCGCGGGAACGTGCGAGATGCGCGCCGCCGAGTGGCCCGCCCGCGGAGTTGCAGGGTCCCCCCCCCCCTCCCCCTCCCCCGCTGCCTCCCCAGCTGGCTCGAACCCGTGGCAAGGTCCAGGGAGGCGAGCCTGGGCAGCAGCAGGCGCGACGCGAGCGTCTGCATGGAGCTCGGAACCCCCGTGCTCACACGCCTGCTGCTGGAAGGGAGGAGGCTGAGGGAAGGGCAGTTTTGTCTTCAGTCGTGTCTTCAGGAGACTCCGACTAAGCTCAGGCGGGTCTGGCTCCCAGTTGGCGGAAGTGGTACATGCGCCACCCTGGGGAGCCTGCTGGACAGTTGTCCCCTTCATAGCATTCCTTAGCGTTCCTCCTCCTCCTCCTCCTCCTCCTCCTCCTCCTCCTCCTCCTCCTCCTCCTCCTCCTCCCACATCCTCGTCATCATCAGCCTCCTCTTTTTCGTCCCTCCCACCTCCTGGCCAGGTGTTTCGCCCCTGGATCGATGCCGGGCAGCCCCGGGGCGCGAAGGCGGGCCTTCAGATGCCGAGAGCAGCCGCCAGCACGCCCGCCTCTCCGAACCCCCTCTCCGAGAGCCAGCCAGACACGCCCCCTCGAGCTCCCCCGCCCGCTCTCGTCGACCACACGCGCCCGCGGGGGAGTCCTGAAGCAACCGCGCGACCACCTCGCGGCGCCCCATGAGAACCTCGCCGCGGCTGGGGGACCGCGACGACGACGACGACGACGACGACGACGACGACGGCGACGACACCGACGGCGACGACGACACCGACGGCGACGAGCGGCGACGACGATCCTGAAATTCTGCCTTTCTGGAGGCGCCGTCGTGGCCACGACTGGACTCGCTTCGAATTTCTGGTCGGAAAGCACCCCTGGACAGGCTGGGGAGGTTTGTCTTTCAAGAAACGACGCCGACGACGACACCAACATCGGCGACAGCGACAGCGACGGCGACCATCGTGCGAACATGTGACCTAAACTTGTTTCCCATACACCTTGAACCCGCCAGCTGACTCTATAAACCAACCCCTTAGGGGGATTCTTCTGTTTATGGCTGCTCCTGGGAGAAGCATTCAGGAGTGCACTCTGTCTGCGCACTGTGCCGCCATGTCGCAACCGCAGGTAACTCACCACCGTTATTGAATTGCGAAGAAGTCTCGGTGATAGCGCCGTTCCTCGGTTTCGGGGCCTCTCTGGCCAGGGCGTCTCGGAAAAAAATGTGAGAAAGAGGTATCCAGCGTGAAACGATGTCGTCGCAGGTGAACTGTTACGAGGTTTGGCCAGGGCGTCTCGGAATAAATTGTGAGGAACTATCGAGCGGAAGCAGTTGTCATGGCAGCTGGGCCTTCACCAACTTGAGCGACTTCCGAAGAAGTCTCGTGCGAGAGCGGCATTCCTGATGATTAATAAGCAACGCACACTCACAACTACACGCGCTCTGCGGTCGCCTCGCGTGAACACACAAACACCCTTGTCGCTACGGAAGGGTGGCAACATTTTCATCGCGCGCCCACCGGCGCCCTCCCCCCACTGGAGCGCAACGGGAGGGGATAGGACGAGAGGGAGGAGTGAGGATCGGCGGCGCGCAGAAGGGGGCCAGGGGAGGGGGGAAGGCTTCTTGGAAGGAGGCTGCTTCTTGAAGGCGCGGGCCTTCCATCTGCAGACAAGGCCCACGCCTTCCAAGAAACAGGGGTGGCTCTAAGAAGTCTTCCCCCCTCCCTCTGCCCCCCTCTGCGCGTGGCCGAAAGGAAGGGCGGCTCTTCCCCTGCCCCACTCTCCCTCTTATTGGAGGCCTGGAAATTGGCAACAACACCAGCACAAGGGGGTTGCCTCCACATGGGGGAGATGATCCTACATTTCGGAGTTGGTGGTAATATTTCGGTCACCTTGGAGGCCAGAGTATTACCACACCATCACCGAGATCGGGATCGCCTTCCCTCGGTGGAGGCACACTGCCGACCTTGGTGTTGGTGTCAACCTCTAGGTCTGCGAATCTTCGGCCGGCCCCAGAATAGGCAGGCCGCGTGAGGGGCGGTCTTCGGGCTGACCTCGCCCCCATGGCCGCCCTCCCAAACCGGGGCCGCAGGTCCCCCGCCCTCCCCCCCGCCCCCCTGCCCGCCCCCTCGCGCCGTCTGCGCTGGAAGGCTGGGCGCTGCGGAGTGTCGTGATGGTGGGGCCAGGGGGGGGATAGTTCGGGGGCGTCTCGAGCGGGAACCCCATTCGAGAACTCACTCTCATACGCAACGCGGAAGCTGGGGGGCCCAGACCTGCCCAGTTTCAGACCCCAGACGGGCGGCGTCAGACCCAGGTGCGGCCCAGGGCGGAGCTGCTGGAACATACAGAGGAGGAAGGGCAGGAGGAAGAGCGAGGAGAGGCGTGAAAGTCGGATTAGCGAAGAACGATGAGGCAGAAGAGGGTGGCGAGGAGAATAGAGATCTGCATCAGCGGAACATTCGAAATACTGGTCATGTTCCAAATGGGGTTGACGTGCGCGGAGTTCGTCGGCAACGTTGCGAAATATCGCATCTGTAGATACCGTTGGGCGGGAGAAGTTCATCCCCGTATCATTCTTGGCGACCAAATATCACACTTGAGGCGTATTGATGCGATGCTGAGCTGTCTGATAGTGACCTGAGTTCGCACGCCTCTCTGACCAGAGCTTTTTAGGGTAAATAAAAGGAACTGCCGAGCGGTAGCCATTATCGTCGCAGCCGGGCCTTCACAGACTTGAGCGATGTGCGAGGAAAACTCGAGCAAGAGCGCCGTTCCCGAGTTTGGGGGCGTCTCTGACCAGGGCGTCCTGGAGAAAATCCAGGCCTTCAAAGACAAACACTTCGAATCGAGAGCGCCCGGAACCGTTTCCAGAGATCAACAACAAGTGCATACCCTCCAGAAGTGAATGTTCGACCACGACGACGACGACGACGACGACGACGACGACGACGACAACGACGACGACGACGACGACGGCGGCGGCGGCGGCGGCGGCGACCAGAGCATCAGCCCTTCGCGCCCCACGGCGGGGCCAGCCGCCGTGGTCGGCCGCGGTGGGCTGGCCACATCGAGGGCCACGGTCGAGGCCTCCACAGGGGGGTCCGAGTCAAGGAGGCCGAAGGATCGCGCTGGACTTCGGTCGGGCATGTCCTCCTGCAGGCGGATTTTGGACGAAAACTCAGACGCAATCAAAAAAAACAAAAATAGTCAAAACTGGTCAAAAAATCGTCCCCATACTGTTTTGTTACTATGTTAAATATTCCCCCTGTAGTGGAACACGCCCGACTTAACGCTGGACCCCTTCCAGAGTCTGGTTTCCCATCCCTGATCGATCTCCGAACGTCACAGGGCCCCAGATGGCCCTCTGCAGGTAGAGAACAAGCAGAACATCTCTTCGCAGCACGACATCGATCCCCTAAATTTGATCCTCGTGCTCTCGAATCTCGATCTTCGAAGTCGACTCATCGCCTATGCATCGGCGATGCATCGGCGACGTCGGCGTGGAGAAAATCGGGATCCACATCGAGCCACATCGCCGACACATCGGCGATGCGGAACGATCCTCCGACCCCATCTACTCGGGCCCCACTTCAGAAGCCTGGACACGGGGTGCAGGAAATCTCACACTCGATCGGAATTCGAGGATCAAACTTCGAGGATCGAGGTTCGAGAGCACGAGAATCAAGCTTATGGGACCGAGGGTCGAACTTCGATGCCGAAAGATCAAAACACACCCATACTCCTAGGAGGGTCGGAGGGAGAGGACTTGCCATGGGTATTGGTGCGGGTTGTCGGACACCAGGAAGGGCTCGCGTTCGATCGGGGATCCCAAGGAGAGAGCGTGATCCACCGCCGGTTTGCTGTGGAAAATTCCCCCTCCTCCTCCGGAACCAGGGGGTTCCCCTTTGCCCGCCCTCCCCGAAGCCCCCCCGGGTCGGCGCGGAGCCGCGATGTGCAGCGGGGTCCACCCCGCAGAGTCGGTAGCCTCCGCGGGGGAGGAGGAACTGGAGGATGAAAAAAGAAGGAAGTACAGGAAAAAGGAAGTAGAGGAAGAACTAGAAAAGGAAGTACAGGATGAAATACAAAGAGGAAAACGGGAGGATGACGACGACGATACCGAAGACGAGGGAGGACGAGGACACACCGAAAGGGAGAAGAAGGAGGAGGAGAGGGGCATGCTACTGGACAGGAGGAGGCGGACGGCACGCTACTAAGCAGGAGGGGTGGAGAAACAACAGCATGAGCACGAGGAAAAGGAGGAAGAAACGGAGTAGGAGAGAAGGAGGAAGAGGAGGAGAACGGGTACGAGACACAGGATGACGAACAGAAAAAATGGTGACACAGGGGAGAAAAGCGAGGACGACAGGGACAACGAATATTCCCGCCGGGATTCGAGCGCTCAAGAGGAAGAGCATGAGAAAAACGAAGAGCCCAGATACAATGAAGACCCCACCAAGAAGAAGAGAACGGGGAGGCTACATTATGTATGTTGAAAAAAAACGAATGAAGAACAGGGAAGAAAATGGACGGATGATGATACATAACACAACAGAAAGGACGGTAGAGGAAAGGAAAAAAGACAAGGGAACTGCCGTCGACGACGAAATTCCACGTTTGATCAGCATCCTGTTCCTACTTGTCGCCCCCTTTCCCCCACCCTCGCGCGCTCGAGGCATCTGAGGGGAAGGGGAACAGGAGGAAGGACTGGTCGGGGTCATGTAGGGCACAGTTGTTCTGACACGGGTTCACGCAGCCGCGATCGCAGCCTCCCTATTGATTTGGTGATAATATGTGTGTCTGTTATTCTCTGCGCCGAGGAAGAGGGATGAGGCGAAGGAGGGAGTAGGAGGAAAAGGAGGGAAAAGGAGGAGGAAAAGGGCGAGGGAGGATGAGAAGGACGAGCAGGAGGAGGAGAAGGAGGAGGAGGACGGACGAAGAGGACAACCTGTAAAAAAAATGTACGACAAGCGAATCTGTTGTACGTGAGCACGGAAACTGCGTGACTAACACAGGTTCTAACACGGGCACGACGGGCGGCCACCTTGTCGTGCCCCCGAGCCGAAAAGAGCCGCGGTGGAGTCATGCTATTTCAACGGAGTTTAGAAGTAACGTCACAGCTCTGCTTCTCAATGGAGGCAAGAGCAGTTAGCAGGCCACCGTTCGAGTCTAGTGTTCAAACGCGTTTGCCTGCGCCCCGCCGCTTACTGAACGCATACCGCGCCACAACCAACGAGCCCTCATAAACAGCTGCGGCGGGAAAGGAAACCATGATATCGGCGCGCCCGTGGAGTTGCCGGACTTCGCGTCGCCCCGGGGCACCTTGGCCCCCAAGGTGCCAAACCCAGAACAGTTCTACGGCATGCGAGGAAGCGGCGACAACTACTCCCAGCAGGGCTCCTACAGCAAGGAGAAGCAGGCGGACGCACCCTGCGATAGACGACGCGAGGCAAGTGGCGATCCCGCGATAGGCGATGGGCGGCGGGGCGCCCGCACGAGCGGACGCGGGCGCGCCTTCGAAACGAGGGGCGCAAACAGCAACGGCCGCGGCAGACCGAATCGGCGCACGCAAGATGCGGGACGACAGCGCGCGCGAGTCGCATCGGGCACCCGCGCGCGCGAACGAGATTGTAACTATCGGCCGAATGGAACGAAGGGATCGCGACTTCAGACCTCGCAACGCGCGAGACATCGCAGAGGCCCTCGGCTCGCCTAACACCGAAGCCCGCAAGTACCTCGGTTCTCAAAATCCGAGCATGGGTCATGGAGCGTTGAAGCATCAGTGGACGGGGGCCTTCTACAAACCAGGTCCCTCATATAAACATGGCAGACCAAGCAGCGGGGGGAGCAGCCAACTGGAGGAGCACGGCGCGATGACGAACGTGATACGCGCCAAAGACGCTGCTCCACGGACACAATTCACGGTAACAGCCACATCCACTGCTTGACTCAGAAAATCGAATTTGCGAACATAGGTCGCCTTACCCTGGCGTTCTCTGATTTGTCCTGCCACGTCGAATTCGCGGGAATAGTTCACGACGCGCGGCTGTCACCGCCTCCCGCCGCATCGCATTCGCGAAAACACTTCGCGGCGTGCGACCGCCGACGGTACGTTCTGCCGCCGAAGTGCGCGGTGAAACATCTGGCTGCTTTTCCCGTCGGCGAGACGGTCCCCCCGTCCGCCCCGAGTTCGCCGCGGCGGGACTGGGCACGGTCTTCTCGCGCCTCCCGTCGCTCAGTCTGACCGGGGCGCACGCGTGCACGGGCCGCCCCCCCCCAAAAAAAAAAAAAACAAACAAAAAAAACATCGCGTCCAAGATCAGATCCTGGCCGACGCCCCCACCCCGCCACGGGGCCGGCCCTCATACCGCGAGTATCGCACCGAAACATGTCAATGATCTGCTTGATGCAGAGCTGGTTGGAGCCCAGAAGGGGTGGCATGCCTTGCTGCGTTCAGAAGTTGGACGAAAAGGATCCATGGTGACGACCACGAGGACGGACATCCCGTCCACGACCAGGGTTGCCGGCGCGGCATAGCCCTGCTCCTCTCTCAGCATCCTGATCCCCTCGGCTGAGACTTGGCCACGGATCGCCTCCTGGAGCGCGAGGAGATAGGCCTGCAACCCGTCAGCTGCGCCGCGCGCCGCGAGAAGCTCGGGGCCGAACGAAGACCCACGCGCAAGTTTGTCCGAGCGGCTCACGGCATCGAGCAAGCGGCAGACCTACTTGCTGGCACTGCGGCACTTGCCGAGGCGCATGTAGACGGCGCCCCTAATGCTACACCCCGTCTGCGCCTCCCTCTTGCCGGACCCGTCGCTGCGCGCGCAGATCTAGCCTGGGTGCCCCACGGCAGGAAGGGCGACGCGCGCCTTCATCTTCTGCGCGGCGAAGACCACAGCATCGAGCTGCATAATGCGTCGCGCGAGCAGCGTATCTTTCGCGTGGCGAGGACCACAGAATTGAGCTGCATACCGCGTCGCATCAGCAGCTTTTTCTTGGCCCGAATAGCGCCACTATGCACACTGCGACGCGGCGCCGGGCAAGCAGGGCGCAAGCCGCTGCCCCCAGCAAGGAGACGCAAATGTCAGGCAGTTGACCTCCCGCGGGCTCGTCGGCCTTCGCTCTGACCAGCTCGACGCGCCTGATCCGCACCAGAGCTGCGGCTTTGGTGGACACCGCAGTTGGCGAAGTCGCCGTAGCCCCCCATCATCCGGCCGACGACGCACTCGACGTGGCCGACGAGCTTGTCGACGTGCCCCTTTGTCCAGCGATCTTGAGGTCATCGACGCGCTGGGACAACATGAGCACAGGACTCGACGTCGCCAGCAACGCACTTGCTGGACGCCTCATGCTCGACCTCAAGCACTGGGCCCCGCCCGGCGGGTTTGACGCTGCACTCCGGCGAGCGCGCGACCCGGGCAAGTTTCCTCGAGAAGGCTCGGGGTGCTCCCTTGCAAACCGCGCCCAGCACGATGCGCCGCAGACACTCGGCCCTCTCGTCGAAGGACTCGCAGCTGGGCACCTGCTCGAGGATATTTGCACTGCTGGGCGGCTGGGCGAAGCTCACCTCGCGGGGTGTTGCACCTGAATCCTGCATCTTGGCATGCGTCGGGCCCTGCAAGAGCGCCGTCTCGGCGCCCACGGCGACATGGACCCGGTCTGGTCGGCGCGACGACTCCGAAGACAGCACGCGCTGCGAGGTGCACTTAGCTGCCCCCGCGAACATTTCCAGGGCGCCGGCGCCGATGTCGCCGCGGAAGCCTCCAAGCGCCGCGCGGCACCGGATAATCCGAGCGGCCTTGCCGCGGAGACCCCTACAACGCTTCCACTCGAAGACGCGCCGGGAGCCCGCGACATTGCAGGCGCCCTAGAGCGGTCGACGTTCGGAAGAGTTGCACTTCACCAGGGCGGCGAGCTCCTGGAGAACGGCTGCGGACACCTCCTTGGGCAGCCTGGACACCTCGTCCTTGGCAAGGAGATCCGCGCCGCGCTCGATGACCGCGGCCTCAACGGCTGCGCGCGCGTCAGGCACGGCTGCCCAGAAACCGCAAGCAACTCAGTCGCTGGGCGATTTCTCGTTGAAGCTCAGGAATGCTTCGCCCACTCCTGGGTCCATGCACAACTCCGCGCGTCCTCCTTGTTCGCCCTCCTCCTCCAGCGTGGCGCAGTCGTCCAGGGCGGCGCCGCGCAGGCAATAGCGGAGCTGCGCCTAGGTGCCCACGCGCCGGCGCTGCGTCTCAAGGCGCGGCGGCCGCTCGCATGGCCGGCGACCAAGACCGGCTGCGGCACGCTCAACAGCAGCGAAAATCACCTGCTGCCAGTCATCGCTCTGCAGGGCTTCCAACTCCGGGGCCAAGTCTCCTGCAGCTCATGCTTCATGCCACGCTGCCGACATCACCTGTTGGATGTGGCCGGAGAAGTCGCTGCCAGTCTTTTGGGGCATGGCTGACAATGCTGATGGAATTCCCCCCTCAGTGGTACTGACAGCGTCCTCAGGAGGGTTTATAACACAGTCATTAAACACTCCATCTGTAACCTTTCCAGCGCCTTCTGCCGTTTGCGTCTCGTTGCCCAAAATGAGCTGGATGATACGGGCGTCTTTCCACTGTTCGCCGATGAACGCGCGGGCGTCGAACTTGACGCCGCCACAATAATTCAGCTGAATGTCACCTCAATCCTGAGGGGCCACCAGATGACTAGGCCGCGGGCGCAGGCAGGCCAATCTCCACTGATTTCTGGCCGCGTAGTCGACGCAAAACACAAACGTCTGGCAGCTGAAAACATGCGGGACATGTGGCGTCCAACTTCGAGCATGTCTGGCCGTTGCCGCGATTGCGCAGTCATCTGCACGCCCCTCACGTCCTCCCGGTGGCCACAGGTCCTGGCGCCGGAGCCCGGCACGACGTGCTTCACGATGAAGTCGCCCTCCTCCACTCGTCCCCAGGCCAAGCCAGCTCGAGCCTTGCCAATGCCCACGTCGTCAAAGAC